ACACGCACGCACGCACGCACGCACACACACACACACACACACCTATCAGTGGCAGCCAGAGTGTAATAATGTTAAAGTTTTACTCTGAAGGTACTCCAGCAGGCTGCCGTTCTTCATCAGCTCTGTGATGATGAAGATGGGCTCCCGCAGGGTGCATATGGCGTACAGCTGGATCAGTTTGGGGTGWCGCAGCCTCTTCATGAACGCAGCCTCCTTCAGGAAGTCCACAGGTTGCATCATATCTGGAGGAGGAGGAGAGGTGGAGTTTATCTGAAACCTTCTGGGGAACTCCAGGGTTGAACACTGACTCATAGAACCGACCGGCCTGACTCAGGCCATATATAGACATACATACATATATACATGCTGCATGCATACATATCTGCTGTATAATATAAGAAATCATTCTGCTTGTAAATCCTATGCATTTTTTAAAATCATTGTCACAGTGCTTTTATTTTGAAAATTAATGCTGTGGTGTTTGTGTCAGCAAGAAACACAGGAAAAACTGACAGAATGTGGGATTTTCAGCAGGAKATAAACTTCTAAATGTTTATTTAGTACATGCTGGGAGCTTTTATTTTGTAGAGCTCAGATTTCAAATGTCTGAAGCTTCACTGTTCAATCTGCCTTCACCAAAAGAACAGTTTGTTTTCTAAAAGTATTTTTAATGAATGTTCCTGATTAAATCCAGAAAGTTTAAATTGCTCAGTTTGTTGTCTTCACAAGTTGCAGACAGAAAAGGTCTGTTTGAGACGTGTGATGAGACTGGACCAAACTCCAGAAACACCCTGGATTTGAACTTCTACAACACTTTTATCACTTTATAATAAACACAGAAAACTATCTGATAATTTGACAGCTTCTCCATCAACTTGTATTAATAAAATGAGGAACATCTGGAAGACTTAACCCCAGCTACAGGCTGTTGTTTATTTTTTGGTGTTACCAGGTTTGAGGATCTTCACTGCGACTGAGACGGACCCGTTCCACAGCCCCTGGTAGACTTCACCAAACTGCCCCGCCCCCAGCCTCCTCTGCAGTGTGATGGAGCTGCGCTCGATCTCCAGATCCGAGATGGTTGGTGGCTGTAAGGTTGGCGGGACCTCCGAGGTGAACAGAAGAGTTTAAAGAAGAGGTGAAAGCAGAGGAAACGTGCTGAGCGTGTACACTCCTCTACCTTTTTYCACGGCTCACACAGCTGAACGCCCAGGCCGTCAGACTGCCTGGAGTAATGATCAACCATTTCTTTTAACGTGGGGAAGGACACGGTGTTTGACAGCGAGTGATGACCGTTGTCCAGCTGTAGAACCTTGTAATGCTTCACCTTCCCCTGGTCCAACACTGCAGGACCAGAGAACAATGGTTCTGTTAACAAACACACTCAGGTTCAGGAGCAACAGTCAGTGGAGCTCATGTGAAAACCATTGYTACGCACAGATTTGTTCTGAAGTTGTGCATGCAAGTAATTTAGCAGAACTTGTTGCACACACTGATGTTCTCATGTTGTAAGATGTTTTCAGATATAAACGTACTTAAACAAAACATTTATTTTATGTGCAGTTACTCTGCTGTTCTCCAGATGGATTTTCTTCACTAACAACTTTATATTTCATAAGTTTGAAGATATTTTGAGTTGAAAATAAATCACACTCCATAAATGTGTGGACAGTAGGCCAGTGGCGCCTGCAGACATTTTTTTCAGGGGTGGTCACTGAAAAACCAGGGGTGGCACACCAGAACTAATATCTATAAC